GTACTGTTCAAAAGCGTTTGACTGATATACTGTATGTGGACACTTGTGTCACAGAAGGTCAAACATAAAGATGTCTGAATGTCTCATTCCTATAGCTATAACAACCCAGCTAACAGAGAGCGTTCCCACAACTTTAATGAACACTTTTAACAGTCAAATAAAAAATGTTAGGATGAAACATTCTTAAAGCAATGTTCATGGAACTATATTACAACTGCATTAATATTTGATATACGTCCTCATAATGTTGAGAGAATTTCTCGGCACGTCCTTATGATGTTATTTGTACTTGATGAATATTCTTATTACATTGAGAGAACAACATTTTCAAAATGTTATTATGAAATTATTTGTACTTGAACATTGTAAGCTTTAAATACCGTTCTAATCACGACAAGAACACTGGAGATTTTAACATTCTTAGAATATTAAAAATATGTTCAAATAACCTTATATTTTAGTTGAAGTTAGTAGAATGTTTTAAGAAACAGTTTGTAACCTTTAAATAACATTATAATCGCAAGAAAACTAGACATTGTTCCCACAACTTTTTAGGTCCCACTTTATATTAGATGGCCTTAACTACTATGCTCTTACATCAAAAAATAATACAATGTACTTATTGTGTTCATATTGTATTGCACAACACGTGCTGCTATTGAGGTGGGATATGGGTGAGGTTAGGGACAGGTTTGGTGGTTTGGGTTGGTTTAAGGGTTGGTTAAGGTGTAAGGGATGGGTCAACAGTGTAACTATAAATGTAATTACAGATGTAATTACATGCAGGCATTTTTAAAATATAAAAACATGTACAGTATGTACACAATAACTGCATCATATCAAATGATTCATTTAAATTAGTGCTGTCAAACAATTAATCGTGATTAATCGCATCCAAAATAAAAGTTTTTGTTTACATAATATATGTATATGTACTGTGTATTATGTATATATATACAGTATAATTTTTTTTAAATATTTACATTATATAAAATATTTAATTTAATATATAAACATAGCATATATTTCTTAAATATATACATGCATGTGTGTGTATTTATATATACATAATAAATAGGCCTATACACATATATTATGTAAACAAAAACTAATTCAATTGTACTAATTTAAATGTAAGTACATAGTAGTTAAGGCCACCTAATATAAAGTAGGACCCTTGTTTATATCCTAAATGTCCTACCTGGAAAAGTACCAATGCTAGTGTCATTTATTGCAAAGAAAGAGCGCAAAAACACATTCATATAGTTTTTGGAGCTGCTGTACACCTCTCTCTCTCTCATCCTACCCAAGAACCGCTGGAATATATCAACGAAGCTGAAAAAGGCATAAAGAAAATTCAGCTTGTCTTATGTTTCAGACTGGAGCATAGGCTATAGACTGAGGTTTGCGGAGCACAGCAAGGCCATCTGAAACGTGAGAGGAAGGGCTGCTTTAGGAGGGTCATACTGCACCTCGACCTGCTGGTGTCACTCCACTATTCAAGACAAGCCCAGCTATAGTGCTCACTTTACTCCTGCCCATGCAAAGAGAGGCTCTGCTGAACACAGACCCCCCCGTTCCTGAAAAGCCTTATGGGAGCGAGACAGGGTAAAGCATAGGACGCAGAGCCGGTATCACAATACAACCCCAGAGCCCCTGCTGCACTCCTCCACAATCAGGAGCAACAGAGCGAGCAGAAATAGATGCTCTTGAGTTATAATGGTCCTTGGATCGAGAGGTTTAAAATTGCAAATAAAGAGACGTGCATTCATTTTATCAATGCATCATGTCATGAATGCATCGTATCTGTAAAGCATGTTTGCTCCAGTTTAAGGGGATTTGAGGAGCTTGTCACCTGAGCTGGAGGCGTCTTTGGGAACGGTTGAGGCTGTGCTCTGCTGGTAAGCTTTTAATGGAGAGCACTGTGACCTTGTCAGGAATAGAGAGGCTTTTGGACTATTCACCTTTTGTTTTTTTCCCCCCTTCAAATTCCCAAGACAGACTGGAAGGCTTTTTGATTCACAGGGTTATAGAAAATGATGGTTGTGTAAAAAGCAAGGAAAAATGGACAAAAGGTTTGTGCGATAACTGCTCACCGTTTTACCTTTAAAAAAATATTGCATGTATTCTTTCAATGAATATAAAGTCATGCATAAATTAATAATTATAAAAGTAGGTTTAAAAAAAGTTTAACGTCACGCTGCAAAACGAAAAAGTACTTTATCTACCAAAATATATAAAAAATTATTTGCTTGAAACACATGATAAAATGCATGTACATAAAACATCCAAAACCATGCAAATGGTTTTTGCAATCTCCTTAATTCAGCAAACATTTATTACATTTTTGAAATTTTGCTTAAGGTTCACAAAAGAATTTAGAAATGCACCTAGATTTACGAAAGCAGATGTGACCCTGGAGCACAAAACCTGTCATAAGGGTCAATTTTTTTTAAATAAATAAGCTGAATAGATAAGCTTTCCATTGATGTATGGTTTGTTAGGATAGGACAATATTTGGCTGAGATACAACTATTTGAAAATCTGGAATCTGAGGGTGCAAAAAAATCTAAATATTGAGAAAATCAT